GGATTTACAATTTTGTTACAGATCTAAATTTTGGAAACCACATTTGTACAAAATACTGTTGCATGTGGAATGTATATCCTGTATTAGCTTTGCAGAAATGCCACACACTTGCATGGAAGCCAGTATGATTGTGCAGAATATCAGTTCAGTTGCATGGTACTTTAGCAGTGTTGCGCTGACCACAAAGAAGATGGTTGGCAATGTGTTCAGTGTGAAGTGGTCTTATTCTGTGCTGTAAATGTTTCCTTTATTTTGCCCTTCCAGCATTATTTTCTGGGCTCTCGTCACACGTGCACAGATTTTCAGCACACAAGAGCTCTTTGGGTAACCAACTTATTATCCGTTTTCACGCTTTCATCACCAGAAGGTTCTGGGGAGCAGCTGTGATCCAGTCCTCTTTTGTCCTTGCTTTGCTTGCATTAAATTGGTGGTGTTTAGAGGGCCCCTTGTCTTCTGAGTGGTGGAAATGCTAAATTACATATACTTGCTGTTACTATTTATAGATGTGATCCTTGCTTACATTCTTCCAGAATATTGTTTCTAAAATGTATGTTGGTGTAATTTACACCTAAAATTTCTAATTCGGCCTTTTTTATTTAAAAAAGTGGAGGAAAGTGTCTGACTACTTATTATGGGCAGCGCACATTCCCCCCCTTGTAATAAATCCTACCAACTGACTTCTACTTCAGAATACTGGCCACTCTGTGGGGGAAAAAAAAAACCAAACATGACAGATTGTGACTAAGCTGTTTTTTTGTGGACCACATGCTCCCCAGAATTTAATTTATCAACCCTGCTATTTGCACAGATTCCTGCTTCCTTCCTTTCATCATTAATAGTGGGCAATTTTTTTTTTTTTAGGGTAGATCTGAGGGTGGTGGCTTTCACTGGGTGTTCAGTGATCTTTGTCCCTTCATTTTTGTGTTTTTTGTTTTTTTTTTGTTTTTCTTCAGAACATCAGATCATTACGCACAGAGATACAGAAGTTTGGAGAGTCCCTGCAGCAGATGAATAGAGCATGCTGTCACACTACTGGTGCAGAAAGACTAAGACAAGCTCTGGGTACATGCGATGATATCCTATGTAAACAGGTTAGTTTCTTTCTCTGCATAGACACCTTTTCTTTGCTTTGAGAAAGGTGGATCCTTTTTTTTCTTTTTTTTTTTTTTTCTTCCGTTGTGGGGTTTTTTTTTTGTCCTCCTATAGAGCTTTGGTAGACCATTGCGGGATCGTGCCAGGAAGATGCTGTAATGTGCTTGGAGCATTGATTCTGCATGGGGAAACTCTCCTTGGCACTTTGTGCTGGATGTGTGTTGCCGCAGGGTGTTTCACCCGTTCAGAGGCATGGTCCATTGCGGTGTATTCCACCGGGAGGGTGAATATTGTATGGGGCGTGTCCTTTTTTTAAAAAAGTGTTAACCTTGAATTTAAAAATTCCATATGCGTCTGTGTTGCCTTTTCAAAGTGTATTTCCAATTTTGCAGTCCTATTCACACAGCATCTCTAACAAACAATATTTCTTATCTTTTTAGATATCTCTATTAGCAGGCTTTTGCATGCTGCTCTCATTTCAGTCACAGCAAACTCTTACTGTCCTAATAGAAAGGCCTAGGACAGACTTGAGTCTCCTTTTTAACATACAAGATCTTTAACCCTTGGTCAGGATAGACAGTCCTGCTCATCTAGTTTACAGGTGATGATGAAATCTGCCAGCCCAGTACAGATGGGGTTAATTAAAACACATCTCACAATCCCCCAGAAAGTGAGAACTAAGAAGGCTTTTTCAGTCCTGGAGTTAGAACAATGCGCATTTAACAAAAGAGGCAATTTTTTTTTTTGTGTTAAATACCCATGATTGGAAACATGTAACAAATATAGAGTAGGTGTTGTGCAAATCTGGCTGCAGTGCGTGTAAATGTGGTCTCTAGCCAAGTAGCCAAGCGCTTCTGTATTGATTGACAGCGAGACTGCTCCTGCTGGAATCCACTGACTGTCAAACGGCACCATCCCCCCTCCCGCGTGTGTGATGCAATCGACAGCCCACCCTCTTGCGATACACACGCCCCCACCCTACTCTTAACCTTATGCTCCTAAATGGGTCCCTATGAATCCAAAAGTTCCATATGGAATCCACCCCCTCTGTGGGGTACATGGACCACCATCTCTGTAGATAAGAGTCTGCGGAAGCAATGTTATCCAATATTCATTGAACAATACAAACTATGGCTGGGTCCTGAACTTCCAGAAGTCGACGGTACTTTGAGTACTTGAGCCTTGTTTTGGACACTGCTCTGTTCAGGGTCCTACTTTTTTTTTTGGAAAAGATCCCATCTCTTTTTCTCAGACCGTGCAGTCCAGGATTTGTGCTACCATTCATTTTTGCACAAAGGTGCTAGGCATGATGGCCCCCATGTTGGAATTGGAAGTCTCCCTCACCCCAATAGTCTGGAGGGTGCACGTGATGGATATCAGGCTGGGGAACCTCTTGGTTCAAAGGACTTAGTCAATGGAGGAATCTTTTTTTTTTTTTTTTTTTTTTTTTTTTTTTTTTCAAACCTGTTTGACTGTTGTTTTTCTTTATTTCTTTTCTTTTACAAAGTTTGATCCCCATCCTGGTGTTTGGAGCCATTTGGTTGTTTCTAGACCTCCCCAGTTACAGGTCCACCCGACCATGATTCATTCACAACGCCATGGCTGTGCTTTACATTAACCATCAAGGAGGCAGCAGAAGTCTCTCTGCTGAAAGGGAAGCAGACCTTATCCAGGTTTGGGCAGGCTTTTTTGCAGGGGGTCACTATAGCGCTCTATAGCAGCCTGATCCTAATTTATCACTAGGTGAATTCGGCAAACTATCACTCCGGCCTTTGAGTTGAATAGTACAGTTGCCCCTTTTTGGTTGGGGCCCTCTCTACTAGGAGCATTAGTACTTCTTGGGCCTTCGAGCTTTAGGCATCAGGTTCCTAAATCTGCAAGGGTGCCTCCTGGTCCTCTTAACACTTGTGTCAGGTTTTACCAGGTGGACTTCATGGCTCTGCAGATGTACAGCAAGTTTCTTCCTTTTTGATTTTGGCACTTTTCTGTTATTGGTTAGTTTTTACATGCCGGTTAGGTGTTTGCCTCTATATTGGACTACTTTTGATGTCCCATCTGTTAAAGAATGAATTCCCTGTGTCCTGTGATGTACAATGAATTAAAACAGGATTTTTCTTACCGATAAAATCAGTTTTCTTAGATTACATCACAACATACAGAGACCGGAGGGGAGGGGTACTGTGATCCACTGCTTGTTGGAAAACCGACAGGCTGAGTGGCAGGGGTTAGACAGGGATGTCCTACAGCTTTGATTTGCTACTGTCAAATCCCCTCTCCTGCCTTAAGTGACTTATGGCACCCATGATAGGACATTGACATTCTTAATTTTTATATAATTGATTTTTTGTTTTTTTTCCTCCTCCCTAGGAAAAGACTCTAGCAGAGCTACAAAACAACATGTCCCTGGTAAAGATGGATCTGAGAAAAAAGACAGCTTGCATTGCAGAGCAGTACCATACTGTGCAACGATTACAGGGGACACCTTCTGGCTTCAAACGCATGTGTAACAATGAAAATATGCAGCCAAACCAGTCTTCTGAGAAAAAGCCTTTCCTTCGCAACCTTCTGGGAAGGACTCCTGGACAGAGAAATCTTATGGAGAACAGCCCTTACAGCCGTGTCCTGAGAGCACGCCGTTCCCCTGTACTAAAGACTATTGCATTTGGTACCAAATATTGAATATATGCTGCTTCACAGTGAGTGGACTCATAGCAACACTCTCATTGCTGAGGCTAATGGTTGCAGTAACTTTACAGTGCCTATCAATATCTAGTCTCATATATA